CTTTACCTTTACCTTACTCTTCAACAGTTTCTTTTTCTATCTTTTTTTCAAACCACAAAATGGAGACGTGGACCCTAATTCTCTCCACAGATTGCAAAACTGTGTGGCTTTCCTCTTGGGGGAGGCAAAGTTTTCATCTGGGACAGGCAAACCTTGACCAACCTGGGCTACTCCTCTTGTTTTTTCCTCTCCAGCCGCTAGAGGGCACCCGGACCACATTACAGCACTGTGGGGGTGTCTTCCTTCCAACCAAGAACCCCCACCCCAGTTTTCTTCCAGGCAACCTAGAAGGGACTTCGCATTGCATTTTGGAAGGGGGCAAGTAACGCAGTCGGGGACACCCATCAGTCATCATAATCCATGCCAGCTCTCTTGGGAGAACCCAGGTACATGGCTGGAACGGTGGGCCAGGTCTCCTCCATCTTCTCTTTGGAGTACCCCAGTTTAATGAATAACAGCCCCAGCCATTGCCCCCCTCCACCGGTTTTGCACGGCCACTGTTTGCTTCTCAAGTGTAGCCCCCTTCCTTTCTTCCTCCACCATAGGAGGGAAGCCGCTTGCTGGGCCCACCACCCTAAACACACACACACACACACACCCAGTTTCTTCTGGGTTTGAAAGCTACGTCAGCATATTTGGGCTTGGTTAGTAGTGTGTGGGGTGGGGAGGGACCACGTTCCCTGTGATGGGACTCTGTCACTCCATAGCAGAGCCCCTGCCTTGCCTGCTGGTTCAGCCCATGGCATTTCTCCAGAGACCCAAGAATCCACCTTGCCTGGAACTCGGGAGAGACGCCCTACCTGTTGCTGCCACCTGGAATGGGTGAGACGGGCTGTGATAGGCACCAAGGCTCCGGCCTGGCATAAGCCAACTTCCAGCACTCCTGGTTGGCAGAAAGGGAAACCAGTGCTGCCGAGCCCTTGTTCCCAGTTCCTTATCCAACGGACAGCAGCCTGAATGAGTGCCAGGGAATACATCCCCCCAAAAAGTGTCATTCCCCACCACCCTCCCCACAAAGATGGTGCTCTCCTAAGTTTGCTGGCTGATTTTGAGAAGCCAAGAAGCGGGGAAGCAAAGCGAATGTCAGTTCCTGGTTGTGAGAAACACGCCAGCCAGCCAGCCAGCCATCCTTCGTGGGACCCCAAAAGCAGGTGGCCTTGGGGGAGATGCCTCCCCGCCCGCTTTCCCCGGGGAATCAGGCAAGCCACATGAACACGGTAGGGGGCAGAGAGGGGTCTCTCTGAGGGCGCCCAGTTCATATTTTCACCATCTCTGAGCCTATTTCCGCCTTCTCTTTCTCCTTCTCCCTCCCTGGTGTTCAGGGCAGGGCATCACAACCCACCAGCCAAGGCTGAGAACGAAGCCTGAGCACGGGCACCCCTCACCTACCAGAGAGGCCAGACCTTGGGGGAAGCGTCTCCTTGGGCAACGAGAACCAGATTCGCCCCGTCTGGCTGAGGAAAGCAACTTCTTCAATCTCTGGAACGGTGGGCGCAAGTGTGGATTTAAGCCATGGGGATATATCTCCAGCCCGTCCCACAGGACTGTGCATGTGTCAAGGGCTCCTCAGAGGAGGGCAGCCAAGCTCCTGAAATGGCATGAACTAGCCCCCCTCCAAATGCACACACACACACACCCCTTCAGCAGCAGGTAACATAGTCAGGTGGGGGAAAACCCTTAAGACCCACGTGGTCAGCAGGTAGGGCTGCAGAGAAGGACGGCCACAGAATTCTGGGTGAACCCCCTCTCTGGGAGCCATGGGGGCTGACAGTCCCAAAGGCTGAGATGGCCGAGCCATCCTGCCTGGGGCAGGACTGCCTCCCTCCCTGGAAAAGGGAAATACCTGAGGCCAACTGAGGTGGGAGCCTGCCCTGACCCCTGTCGGTTCAAGACACGGACCTAGTGCCAAAGGGGAAGCGGTGAGTTGCAGACGGTCCCTGGGAAAGGACGAGGCTTTGAGTTTGTTGTCATTGTGGGAGAAGAATCCAGGGAAGTAGTAGCAGCAGCCAACTTTTTCTCATGTTCAGTTGTTTTATTCTGACAATCCAGGGCATTGTATAAAACGGCTTGCATCAAACTGCCACTTAACCAATCCAAAGGTTTTGGAACACTTTATTTGGCCCTTTAATCAACAGCAAGAATCCTATGCAGCTTCACTCAGAAGCCAGTCCTGGTGTCAGAGAGCGGTGGATGGGTGGGTTGGTTGGTTGGTTGGATTTGTATAGGGCTCCTGCTCATGGCAAGGCACAACTCTGGGCAGTTTACAAAGAAAACCCGTGCAAAACCAAAAATACAAGTAAAACTTCTAAAAATAATTTAACTGCTGACTCAAAGCAATGATGCAAAAACTGGCAGACAAAAGTGTTCAGCTAGAGTTGGTGTGGAAAGCCTCCCTGAAAAGCCACATCTTCAGTTGCCTCCTAAAGGTCCACAGGGAAGGGACCAGGCGAAGCTTCTGCAGAAGGTGGCCCCACAAGGTTGGAGCCACTGCAAAGAAGGCCCTGCGCCTTGTGGATGACTTACTGTCGACGACTTCCCTCAGGGTGGCCACCCGGAGGATCCTCTCCTGGAATGATCTATCTAGAGGGTTGGGCAGATAAGCTTAAGGAAAGATGCTCCGAGAAGTAACATGGGCCCAAACCATGGAGGACTTCATATGCGAGTGTCAAAATCTTGAACTTGATCTGGGATGCAACAGGTAACCAGTGGAGATGAGCCAGAACCGGAGTGATAAGACCAAATTTACTTACATCATTCACAAGTCTGTCTGCTGCATTCTGGACACACTCGTCGCCTCCAGATGAGCCTCAAGGGAAGCCTCACGTAAAGAGTGTTGCAGTAGTCGATCTGGGAGATGACCAGGGCCTGCACCAAGGTCCTGAGGGAGAGCTCATCTAGGTAAGGGCTGGAGTTGAGTGATTAGCTGATGAAAGGCTGATCTGGACACGAGAACAACCTGGGACTCCCAAGAGAGAGCTGGGCCCACGAGGACCTCCAGATGGTGAATTTGCTCCCGAAATGGGAGAGCGATGCCAACCCCCTGAGGGACAATCCCACCCCACAACCTTCTGGAGACCTCTCTGCCTTGTCCAGGTTCAGTTTGAGCCTGTTGAACCATCCCCCCCCCCAGAAACCACACGTACAATTACAGGCCAAGAGGGATGGAATGGCACATCCCCTCCGACTGGCAAATCTGGGCAACGACGGTGTGTGAGGTGCCTGTCCATGCAGGTGCCACTAGTGATTGATGAGTCCCTTTCTCCTGGTGGGCTCAAGCGGAGGACCAAGGCTCTCCTCCACCCATGGTCATCCAGACAACCACCCACCCAGAGAGGCAAGTCAGGGTAGAAAGGAGCGACCGGCCCAAAGGGTACCCGGGCAGCTCGGATCTGGGAGATCAGATCCCTCCCCCCGCCCGCGCCCGAAATGTCCCACGTTTTCCAACCCAGTCCTGTATTCCAATGTCTGTCTGTTCCTGGAGGGGCGGCTCAAAGGCAAACAGAACCACCAACCCTCACCCATGACACCCACAAGGTCAACATACCCTAAAACTCTGATGACTGCCAGGGCCAGGTCTGTCCGTGCCAAGGGACTGGGATTAATGGAGACAATCCTCCATTTCCTGGCCAAGGTTTAGGATTTAGGCCGCCAGATTCACAGCAGCATCGAAATAATCTTTAAAAATGGCAACGTTGTCCCCCATCTGATTCTGTACTTTGTATGCTCCCTTTAAAAGCTTGCTCGAGGAATACCCTGAGGGACAGCGTGGTGTAGTGGCTCGATGGTCCAGCGAGGACCCAGAAGAATCCCAACTGGGCACAAAAATTCACGATGGGTGGGGGTGGCCAACAGGAAGCCTTTCCATGAGGGTTGCCGTTAAGTCAGATGCAGCCTGGCAGCACGAGACAACATGCCCCCTCTCCCCCCTCCTGCAGGGCTTCCAAGATGCCCCCTCTCCACCCCCCACATCCACTGCCAGACTCCTGCTCACCCCACAAACCAGGCCAGGCATTCAGCTAGAGAAAGGGGCGCCTCCAGGCATGAGCGGGGACACGATCTCTTATAAACTTTCCATGCAGTCAGGGCAGCCAAGACCAGGCGAACTCAGATCATGCAGAAAAGGAAGCTGAGAAATATGGCAGCGCTCGAACCAAGGCCCCGGCCAACATGCTTCCCAACTCAAAAAGCACCTCCAGCTGCGTGAAGAGAACGGGGCTCACCTTTGAACCTCACCCAGGCGTGCCTGCGCACGGTATTTGCCTTCCAAAGGAGCGAGCAGAGGTCGGAACCCCGAGATGTAGGCCTGCCTCCCCCACCGCGCTACCTCTGGCTCAGAATCACCCCAGCCCAAGCAGCCAGCTGGGCACCAAGATTCCCACCAAGCCCGGAGCTTGGCAGGGGTCAGAGGGTCCCACCCTCGGGCCCTTAGCTATGGCCAGACAGCAGTTCCCAAAATCACTCGCCACGGGCCACGCTCGTGGGGCTTCCTCGGCAGGCCAACTTTCCCTGGGCGGTGCAAGAGCAGCAACACGGGCTCGAACCCCCCCGGCATGTTTTATCTACCTCCATCTTCCTTCCCACCCTCGTGGGAGGAGCTGCACATTAGCTCACCCCGGCACAAACCTGTGCTTTGAACGCCCAGCGTGAAGAGGCTTGTGTGATCCAGAAGCCTGCACCCTGCCTTGGAAACACACCAGTGAGCTTGATGCCGCTGGTTCTGTAGGCACAACCGGGTCTGGGCTAGCTGCCCAGGTGGATGCCCAGTGAATTGGGGGGGGCTACCTTTTTGGACAGACGAGGGCACGGGAATGGTCTCAAGGGGGTCGTGTGGCCACGTTTTTTGATCTCTAGAAGATCCAGAGGCAACTGGGAACGTGGGCATGGAAACTTCTTACCCTGGATCCAGTTGGCTTTATGACAACAAGCCGAGGCAGCCAGCCCTCCTCCCTGCTGGCTGAAGGGGAGGCATCACCGGAAACACATCCATCGCAGACAGCTGCTACTTTTAAAATACTTTATTTTTAAATATTAATACAGGACATTACAAAAGAAGACATACAAAAAAGAAAAAAAAACACTATAAAACCACTCAGGGTCTCCCAGAAATGGAGAAAAAACCCTATGGCGCGGCTACCTCCCCCCCTCGTCTGCTTGTCATCAGCCTAAGTTTTTTTGTACTTTAAAAAAACACACACACACGTGTTGCAGGGGGGAGGGCAAAAAAGGCATTGTCTTAACCATTCAAACTGGTTGATAAGTTCAACACTGCCTAACAGTTTTAATCTTCTCAAAAGAAAAATGGCACGTGGACATGTTAGACTCTGTACAGCTATACAGCAGGCGGCTGCGCCCGGGGCGGTCAGCCGCTCCCTTCAGCTACCACAGATAAAATCAAGGAGTTTTAGCTCAGGGTCAACTCTAAAAACCAGCCAAAGCGAGGGCCACCCGACGGGGCCAGATGTCCTTGGCAAAGGGAACAAGACCTGAGAGAAAGCCCAAAAGCAGCTTCCCCCGTGTCAGATCAGAATAAATACATTGTTTGTGTCTTTTGTTTAAAAAAAAAAAAACAGAAAAAAAGTCAGGACTCTCACGCAGGACAGTTTTGGCACCAGATTTTAATTTGGGGTGGGGGGGAAGGAAAGAGAAAAAAGTCCCTTTCGGAAAACTGCTTTAAACCTTCCCCAAAGCGAGGCTCAAGAACACGTCCCGGCCTCGGGTTCTCCCTGCCAACGAAGGAACATTCAGAGGTGGCACCGATTAAGTTTTGCTTTAAAAAAGCATTCCCTCTGAAACGTTTTCAAAGGTGCAGTCTTTACCCATGCGCATCTCGCATTCCCTCTCCACGCGCGGTCCGGCTGAGTGGGGACGGACGCAACCCTGCACACCGTCCTGCCGAGGCTTCCTTCCCTCCTCCCCCTGCAGCCTTGGACCCCAAGCGCTTACGTCCCCCGCTTGTGCTCTCAAGACGCTGCAAGCCAACAGCTCCCTTTGGCCACTCAGAGAAGACGGGATCAACCGCAGCGGGGAACTCAACATGGGCCGCAGGAAGGGCCAGTTCTTGCAAGGCTCCTAAGGGCGTAAAAGCTGGGGGAGCATCCATTCGAAGAGGCCCTGCCAAAATGATCTGAGTGCCGCTGGGTCCCTCTTCTCCGTCCCATTTTATTGTAGCCAAGCAATTGCCCTTGGCTCGCCAGCAGAGGCACGAATCTTCCAAGAGCGTTTTCCGGGTACAGCCCTGGCTCCGTTGGGGAGCCCAAGAAAGTCTGCTCAGCAGGGGCTAGGAGGGGCCCATCTCCTTTCGGTGGAAAAGGACGGACGGGGGGGCACAGCGGGCCAAGGTTTGGACTGGCCCCAGCTCCAAGGCCTTAAGGACTGCCTTCAGGACCAAAGCCACTGCCCCGGTCCCAGGCAAAGAAAGAGCACCCTAAGAAAGACCTCCCAGGCCGCCTGGAAGGAAGCGGGGAAGAGGAGACGCCAGAGTCCTATTTACATCAGGGACACCCCCCTCGCACTCCATGGCGTGACGTCCATCGTCGGTGGCTTGCCAGCCAGACTCTACACAAAGCAGAAGGCCCTCCGTGGCTGGGAGAGGGCAGGCTCGGGGCTCAAGGCTCACACAAAGCTGGCACACCAGACCCAGCAAGGCAACCCCCTGCAACCGGGGGGGGCTGCTGGGGGGGGGGAGGAAAGAAAGGGAGAGCCCTACAAGCCAGGGCAGTGACTCTTAGGAAAGGGGGGGGTGAGGTTTGCAGTGAGAGGCGCGGCTGAACCCCCGGCCTTGCGCAGGCCCAGGGCGCTGCTGCACATGCGCGCGCATGTGAAGGATTGCTGCCCGGAGGTCAAGCGGGCGGGCGGCCAGGCAGGCAGGCTCTAGGAACAGGGGAGGTGCTGCTTGAGGATCAGCCGGGTCTGAGGAGCTATTCGTTCTGGGAAGCGGACTTTAAACTCTACGATCAAGTCTCCCCGCTGCGTGGGGACCTTCGGGAAAGGCAGCCCTTCGCCACGCAGCCTCTTCACCGTGCCGGGTTTGATGATGTCGTTGCAGGGCAAGGGGATGACGCGCCCGTCGACGGTGGGAATGTTCACGGTGCAGCCGCACAAAGCCTGCAAGAGAGACGGGAAGAGGGTGAGGGTTAGGCCAGCAGAAGCGCGGAGGCCCAGAGGGCGAAAACCCCGTGCCAAGCTGAAGGCGGGCCGCTCTTTCTGGGCCCTCCGGTGCCAGTCTGGAGAAGGCATGTGCCACGGTGGTTTCCGAATTCCCTCTGGAACAATGGGGCCTGAGCTAACCTTCAGGGGGCGACAAATACTCAGTCTAAACCTAACTGGCCACAGGCCCTGTGCTTTTCTAATAAGTGATTTGTAAAAGACACAAAAACGGGCCGTGCTCTCTCACAAAGGCCCCACTGTCCCTGGGAACAACAGGGTGACGTTACTGCTCGGCTTCAGTGTCCTGAAGGAAGTGGCTCCTCTCGGTGCACTCGTCTGCTTTGAAACCAACCACTTACCCACCACCAGCAGCTAAAAAGGAAATCTTCACCTGGGGTCCCTGGGAGGCTGGGAAGGAGAGGGGCTCGGGAGAGGTCGCCCTGGGCAAAGCACGGGGCGGGGGGGGGAGTCTGAGCCAGAAGCAGAGGCTCAACTGAGACGGGCATCACAGCTCAACCCCCCTCCAGGGAAGCCGCCCGAAGAGGAGGGTGGCGCCTGCCTTCGCCCTCCCTGCTTCTTCCAGCTGGCTTGGCTGTCAGGCAGAGGCCCCGGGGCAGCCGGCGGGCAGCTCCGAAAAGGTTAGGGAGAGCAGCCAAGAGAGGCTTATGGCTTGACTCATGCACGGGGCCAACTTCCAGGAAGGCAGAGTTTTGGAGGACCCTCTCCTGCCAACCTCAACAGGAGAGGAACAGCAGCGGCCGGACAAGGTTTTTTTTTAAAACCCACGGGACGTTAAGGGTTGCCAAACGAATCCTGACCCATACGAGGAGGTGAAGAGGAGACAGGGCAGCCCAGAGGGAGGGAGCAACGCCTGCTCTTCATCTCTCCCACCATCTCAAAACTCCCCTGCGATTCCCTCTATGACCCCCTCAACGTCCCCACTGCCACTGAGGCGACTCCCTACCTATAAGCTTCCCCCACAACCTCGCACTCCACCAAGAGGGAAGTCACAAGAGCCACCCTGGAAGGGACCGCCTGCCTCAGAAGGTGGGGAGGTTCTGAAACAGTGGATGGGTGGGGTGGCCATCTCTGCCTTTCTGGCAAGCGGAGGGGGCTGGGCTGGATGGCCTCGAGGTCACCTTCCAAGAGCAGGATCCCACACTGGTATCAACCCCAGCGGACTTGCCCAGAATCGGGTCGGGTGTGGAAAGAAGTAGGGCAAGGAGGGGCCTGAGGTGGTTGTGGCTTCTGCCTTGAAAAGCGGATACCTGGGCCTTGAAGTCCAGCCCAAAGCCAACCAAGACCTCTCTTAGTGAACAGTGGGGCCGGGGAGGGGAGGGGAGAGAAGGGCAAAGGGGGGGGCAATCAAGGAAGGGCAAAATCTCAGGGGAGGGGGTGGTCCATAGCTTTTGTGGATTAATAATCATGTGCTGACCAGTCAATTCTGACTCACAGTGATCCTCTTCAGAGTTTTCTAAATAAAGAATACTTATAAAGGGGTGGGCCATTCCCTTCCACTAGGGGGCACCCTGGGACTGCTGTGCCGCTGGCCCAAGGCCACCCAGGCTGGCTCTTCTCCCAGGAGGCCCCATTGGGGGAGGGGGGAATCAAACCCCCAACCTCTAGCTCTGCAGCCAGAGACCTCAACCCCGGAGCTCTCCAGCCAGCATAACCTTGGCTTGAACTGAGGCTCATGAAAATGGCCTTGCAGAAGAGCAGGAGGGACGGCTGGGAAACATGCAAAACCAACCCAAGATGTTCACCTACAAACCCCATAAGCCCATGCAGGTAGCCCACGTTCCTCATGGTGCCCCCCTGACAGGGGCAGGAGGAGCTGCCCCGGGGGGGGGGAACCCAGACCTTCTGACAGCCCCTCCCCTCATAAATCTGTCCGCTCACCCTTTCCCTCTCCCAAAAACCATCTTCTAAGCTGGCCACCCTCAGCTGCTTTTGGGGAACTCAGCCTCAAAGTTGACTCTTAGGGCAAGGAGGACTGCCTCTCCTCCGTGCTGAACAACAAGAACGTGACCCCCAGCTTCCAGTATTATTGGGGGTGGGGGGGAAGAGGATGGGGCCTGGACCTTCACTCTTCACTTTCTCCCAAACAGGCATCATCTCTATACACGACGTTCCCATTTTTGGCTGCCTTCTTTCTAACCTAATCTAACCTCCACCCCAAACGTTCCTTTCCTATCCCCAGGAAGATGACCCAGAGGCTTGATGGGTTCTGGTCTGCCTTGCTGGGCCTTCCCATAAAGGTTCGTGGGCCAGGGTGGATTCTGGGTCTCTCCTCCAGCTCTTGTGTGGTTGCTTTTTATGTTTTCTGTCTTTGTTTTTTACAGACAAAAGAGCTGCTCTTGTGCGAAAGGGTTCCTCCCCGTGTCCCCCACTTCCTGTGACACCCCCCCCACCAGGCCGTGAAATAAGGGAAAGAGAGCCAAAAGAACTTGGAGGAAGGCACACTGCCACCTGAACGGAGAAGGAAGGAAGGAGGAGACCCGCCAGCCTGCCCTTCCATCTTGCAAAGCAACCCTCTCTCCGCTCCTCCTCTGCCCCACCGCTCAGGGTCCATAGCCCCTGCCCACGGGCACTTCTTCCATGCCAGCCCTCCTGCCTCCACATCGCAGGCCCCCACACCTGCAAACATAGCATGGCTTGTGCAGCTCGCTCCCCCATGGGTGGCTCATGACGCACAACCCAGCGTTCCTGCTCAAACAGGCTGACGCCTTCCCAAATCCCTGACAGGGGGCAATCGGGTCTCTCCTCGTTCCCCAAAGAAGGGAAAGGGCTCCTTGTGAGAAGAAATACTGATACAGTGGGACTGTGGGGCGCCCCATGGTCAGGAAAAAAAAATGCTAAGATAAATACATTCAACCCCCAGCCTCTGCAGTGTCCCCACCTCTCTGGGGGAGAGCACCACGAGATGGGCAGAAACGCAACCCAGAGAAGAAAGCCCCAGCCAGTTACCTCTTTAAGACTGATGGTGGCCGTGTAGATGACGTTTGTCCCGTCCCGCCGGAAGTGGGCATGGGGCTTATCCTTCAGGACGAAGACGATGTCGGCGGGGATGTTGTCCGGGGTGGCGTCTCCTTCCTTTGGGAAGGTGATCTTGGTTCCCTCTTTCCAGCCGCGCTTGATGACAATGTTCAGGATCTTATCCTCTGTCCGCATCGTTCTGCCGTCTGGGTTCAGCCGCCGGCGAGTGATCTTCATGCGTTTGGTCGCACCGTGGTAGATCTCCTCCAGGGAGACCTTGAGCTCATGGACCACGGGCGGGTCCTGCACCTTCCGGCGCATGTGGATGGGCTCCGGGTGCCGCCGGTGCACGCCGTTAAGGCCGTTGAAGCCAAACCTGCCGAAGGCCATGAAAGGGTCGTCGTTGTCGTCGTCCACATCCATGTCCTCGTGGTCAAAGCCATTGAAGATCCGGGAACGGCCGCTGGTGAAAAAAATGTCAAAGGGGTTGGTGCCCCCAAAGAAAGAGGCGAAGGTGGCATGCGGGTCCCCGTGGAAGGTGTAGTGGAAGGTGTTTCCAGGCGTGCCGGAGGAACCGCCACCAGTTTTCAGGCCTGAAAGAAAATTTTAAAAAATGAAAGACCCATTCCTCAAAGGAGTGTTCACAGACACGGGAAGCGCTGCTACAAAATCAAGATTCTGCAGGCTGGTCTAGAAGCCGGAGAGGAAGCTGCACCAACCTGCAGTATTCTGCAATATCACAAGAAAAGCCCTGCCCCCCCTTCACTCCACCGCCCCCACCCCC